AGTTTAAAAAGACAGCAAAGAGTTCAAACAGCAAATAAGTCTATGAGACGAGAAACTGGGGAAGTGGTTGTGTTTGGGGAGGAAGTGGAACAAGCAGTGTGCAGAAAGGGGTCTCCAGGATACTGGGCCGTGTGCTACGTGTTCATCGGGCTGCAGGTTACCGGGCTACATGCACTCTGATAATTCATCACGCTGCACACTTCGAATTTGTACACTGCTCTACAACTTACTACATTTTTAATGTATTCTGTGATGTTGAATATCCTTGCTTTTACTTTTGATTTTTTTTTCCAAAGATTTATTTTATTTTATTGGAAAGTCAGATATACAGAGAGGAGAGACAGAGAAGATCTTCCGTCCGATGATTCACTCCCCAAGTGAGCTCAACGGCCGATACTATGCTGATCTGAAGCCAGGAGCCTCTTCCGGGTCTCCCACGTGGGTGCAGGGTCCCAAAGCTTTGGGCCGTCCCTGACTGTTTTCCCGGGCCACAGGCAGGGAGCTGGAAGGGAAGCGGGGCTGCCGGGATTAGATCCGGCACCCATATGGGATCCCGGGCATTCTAGGCGAGGTCCTTAACCACTGCACCATTGCACTGGGCCCATACTTTTGAATTTTTTTAAAAATCATTTTCGATGACATGGTTTTGCAGGTATACACATTCCACCTTCCTCCTCTCTTTTTCGCTCCCATCATTTTCTCCCATATCGTTCACAGTAGTCCCTAGTGACAGTTACACGTTTAACTTATTGCCTTTTAAGGGCATCATGGCATTGTAGGTACAGGCCATGTTATAAATTCTGGTATTGTACTGTAAAGGTGCATGTAAATGTTTCACAGAGGGTTCCCTTTTAGTGGGGAGTAGACATAAACAATACAATGTATCTTTACTTCCCAGTATGCTATTCTCCATTATCCACTCCATCAATGAGAACATATGTATGTACCTTATTAACTATATGTATTTATTTATTTTTGCATGAATGCTTTCTTATATTAGAGAGAAAGGATAATATCAGTCCTTTTAGGATTGGCTTATTTGACTAAGCATAATGGTATCCAGCTGGGACCATTCTGTAGTGAACAGTAGGAGTTCATTCTTTTTATGGCTGTGTGGTATTCCCTGGGGGGTAGAGGTACTACAGCTTCTTTATCCATTCACCTATTGATGGTTACTGGGTAGTTTCTATGTCATCGCTGCAGTGAAAAGTGCTGCTATAAATATAGGGTTGCAGATCACTTTCATTCATGCAATTTCATTTTATTTGGACATATTCTCAAGAACGAGATAAACGGTTCATATAGTAGATAGAATCTTGGTTGTCTGAACACTCTCCGTACCAATTTCCCTGTGGCTGTACTACTCTCAGCTCCCGCCAACAGAAGAGCAGGGTAACTTCCTCCCCACAGCCTTGGCAGTTGCTGTTGTTAGCTGATCTGTGTACATAGCCCATTCTCACTGGAGTTAGGAGGAACTTCATCCTTACGGGAAATTATTGCCTCTCCAAATGGGAAATGTGGGTGTAAATTTACACAATCAAACCACTCTCTCAGTTAAAGAATTCCTGTCACTTTACAAATGAAGAATCCATTGCACCCAGTAGGCTAAAACACAAAGGTCCTGTAGCCTATCAGAAGGTAAGAACAGGACTGAAACCTAGCCGCCTGGCACCAGAGCCCAAATGAGAATCCATCCTAGGTTTAAAGGAATCCTTGGAGCTCAGCCAATCTGTTTCTTCATGGACATTCATTCTGGGGATTTGAAATCATGACTCTAAGCCAGGAAACACAAATACCATGAAGCAAGGTATCTTCAAGCACACTAGTCATATACCACGGGTTTTAAAACTCCAGCCTCCAGAGAAAAACAGATTTGCTTCTTTTTGAGGAGCAGGTTATTAAGGCTATTGTAGCAAATCTTGCCAACTGTTCCCGGTTTCCATTTGCTTACCAGATGTTTTGCTGTATTCATTCTGCACACCTTTGGAATTCAAGGTTCAGAATTAACAAGTAGATGCAAAGAGATATGGTTCTTCACTGAAATGTGTTCAAATTGTTAAGAGACTACTAAACTTTACTTCTATGGCTTATTTGATACCATTTATATTCCTTATGATTTGAGTAACACTGGTTTTCAGATTTCTAGAAATCAAAATAATGAAAACAAAATTACACCTGTTCTACTACTGGTACAACAAATTTTCTCATCTCAAGCCCAGCTGGAAAAATAAAAGAATTATAAAATATTTAATGTTACTTTTTATGTGAATTCAGTTCAGTTTACCAAGTGAACTATTCTGCGAGATCCTCTTTCAGATACTTTGGTAGAGGAATTCCATTTAACAACAAAAAACACATTCATTACAAAGACACTTGCATTATATACAAATAAAAGTGTGCTTTAGGGCTCATAGGCCAGTCTCAGACTGAAATCAATAAAAATATATGTCTGTTCCTAACATTTCTGCTCAACAATGCTGTATTTATTACTTGGTCATAGAATTAGCTCATAAACAAGTAGTTTTTGGCTAAGTTGATCTGATCTAACAACTACAGGTCTTTTTCTAAGTTTGAGTGGCAGTGCACTCAGGTGGCTAATTCTAATCTAGAAGGCAAATCGATCCCACTAAAATAATTAGCTCTGGGCTCTTGGGATACTGTACTTCTGGGCAGGTAGACAGGACTTTGCTTGACACAATTCCTACCAGGCCTACCACTAACTTACTTGTGAAATCAAATCAATTCATCTAGGCTAGCTTTCAGACTGTGTTCTCTTAATTTTGTGAAACAAAGCCAGGATTGGGGAAAAAAATTTACACATCTACGTTTTTTAACCACTTTTTAAATTTCAAGATTTGAAAAATGTACTCAGATGAGCTGTGCATTCATTTTCCTTATATAGCACGAGAAAAATAACTCCCACATACCTTTAGCTAACCAACATGACAGCCAATCTCAAAAAAAACTTTAAATACTCCAAGCATTTGAGAATGTTCCATAAGGTAATGTCAAAATTTTTGAAGACAACAACAAAAAAGGAAGTTTTGTAACTGACTTCTCATCACCCTAGTACTTACACAAAACTAAAACACAAGATGAGCCACAATGAAAAGATGTTTCAAAGGAAACCCTATGGTTGCCCTGGTAGATTTAATACGTCAGCGTCTCTCCATTATTAGTACAGAATTTCGGGAGATGTGAAAAGTTACATATTTTACACTCTTCTGGAGTGCTTTATATCTTAATGAGCTTGTGTCATGTCCAAGGTGTTTACTGACTTCAACCAGATTGCGTGGAGGTCTCTAGGAGTATTTATTCTCTTAGAATGGGATAGGAAGAAGGGAGAAGTAAATTTTGAAAAACGACTAGAGAAGTCACTGATAACATTTCTACCTAATTCATGAGAACAAAGTGCTTGCATATACTAATAAAAGTGTCTTTCCTTCAGAAAACATCCGGTTGGGTGAATTTAGAACTCTGCAGTTCCTGGGTAGCTCTGGGCAACTGAAGGGAAGTAGCTGATAATATCTTTCCATTTATGTTGTGAATGAAGAAATGAGCTAGCAAACACTTAAGATCACCGATGATCTAAGTCGCAAAAGAGATGAGCACACTCCTTGTATGGGACAAAATGGGATGCATGTGTACCAAAACGTGCAATGGCTACTACGCATATTAAACAGTGAAGCATGCATGCTAACTTGAGATTGCACTTCCTTAAAAAGAAAATAATGCATCTGGTACTGTTCTCATTAAGCTTTTCTTATTAATGGTCCAGACTTCTTAAAGTTTAGCCGTTTTGGTAACCCACAAAAATTACTCGATAATTGAACTAGGTTGAAATGATGATTCCGAAATAAACATTAATATCAAAAGTTTGTAACACGTATCTAACTCAGGTCTACTAAGAGAATTCAACACTAACATGAACAGCAAACATTCAAATAATTCTAGTCTTTCCATGTTAGCACTGGTACCTAGAAAACTGAGCACCTATAAATGAAACGATATTATGCTGGTGTTAAGCTTGGATGCTAAACAGATTAAATCCATATTCAGTGTTCACCGTGGATCTGGCATGAGTGCAGGAGCTACATTCTAGCTACATATATTAACACAAAGATAAAGATATGTAGGTATTTGTTAATTAGTGCTTATGGTACAAATTGTAATGATCAGAAATGAAATTAAAAACTGAGCAGCTCAGTGATTCCACTGCTGCCTGGTCCAACCTTGTTAGATAGCTGAGTGTGAGGTTGATGTTTTAGCTACTTTTTTCCCCAATCCAGCTGCCTTCTAATGCTCATCCTGGGAGGCAGCAGGTGACAACTCAAGAATGTGAGACTCTGCCACCCACATGTGAGACCAGAAGTCTCAGCTCTTGGCTTCAGCCTGGGACTCGAGGTCCCAGCTCCTGGATGCAGCCTGAGACAGCACCAGAGTTCCTGGCTCCTGGCTACAGTCTGGGATGACAGTCCCAGAATGGTGAGCATTTGAAGAGTGAACCAGCAGATGCATGATGATTCTTACTGCCTTTCAGACTGAAAACAAGAAATAATTTTTTTAGATAAAAAGTATGCAGAAGGAGGCAGAAGTTACTATTTCCCAGTGATACATGATCCTGCAATCTTATACTTCTCCAATACAATACTTTTCTGCCATTTTTATGAAAGCAATATGAAGCTGGGTCCGGCCTAAGTTATATAAGCACAGGGTAATAGTTTCAGTGTAAATTATTCAAATAATGTTTTATGTCAACTAACGCTTCATTGATTAGAATGTTCTATCTTTCATATTTACTTTTTTCACCAGGATTCAAAGCCTCCAATATAAAATCCTGGAGCTGGGCTTTTAAAGCCAAAGATGAGAATCATACCATCATGGAATGCATTTAGCATATGGTAGAATTTGCATCTGGGACAACAAAACATGTCAGCAGATGACTAACTTGATGTTCAGACTTCAGAACAGTATCTGGTTTGCCTTCAAAGACAGGTTACCTTAGGATCAGAAGTCAGCAACTTGAACGCCTGATACACTTGAGCTTCTTTGACACCACCACCAAGATCCAAGAAGTTGGCTGGCTTCCCACCATTAAGGAAAATGATGTCACACGTTGCCATGGCCAGCCCTGCCCCATTCACTGTGAAAGGCAAACAGCACATGAGGGCAATTAGTGATATGAGAATCCACAGGTATTTTTCATCCCCTGTTCTCAGGTCAACTTCTGCCTCCTTTGGAACTCTGTCCAACCAAGTAAAATCCATATTTTTTTTCAGACAAGCAGAAAACCTGTATGTAAAAAGTAAACCAAAAGGATCTGGGAATGAAGAGAAGGATTCACTGGATTAGGTTAAGGAAGGAGAAACAAGGGAGTTTAAATAAGTAACTACTCTGGTCTACTTCTATCGGAAAGATTTTTAGGTTTGGAAAAGCCTCAGGTCTTAGGAGTTTGCCAGACTCAAAAGGCTGAAATTCTTTCACTTGTTTGTTGGCTGAGAACATGCTTCTCTGAATGAGGCATCCCTTGGAGACAGAACCACAGAGACACAGAGAGCCCCAACTTCAACAGGGTTTCCTACTTTTTATACTTAGTACAATCATGAATGTTTACATGATATTATCAGGATAAACCGAGAAAATTCATCAAGAAATGACTACACTGTAAACAAAAATTCTTATTCCCTTGCTTCTCTTTCAAATTAATCCAGTCATTGCCAAGATATTTAAGAATTTTTCTTAAGGAACCAAATGAGGAGTTTTAGCATCAAAATTCTTCTTTTCTGGAGGTAAATACTATTGATCTTTTGTAATTCTTTTTATGCCCAATTGATATGAAATCATTTTCCTCTGCTTAGAAAGGAAAAACAAAATTTCCAGTGCACAGCAGAAAGTCTCAAGGTAAAATACCTTTCACTGTTCTTGACCCCTGAATCTCCCCAGCCAGCCAATGAACTGTGACTAATTTAATTAAGCCTGGGACAACTGAAAGAAAAATGCTTGATACAGGGTTTTAAAGCAATTTAAAAAGTGTTCATTGTAGCTTCGGAGGATGCCACTTGGTCAAACCACACATATCCACCAGAGGCTGCAAAGAATGTGTACTTAATTTGTTTTAAACACACTATTATACCTTTCCCCTTTCTAAATGCCTACAAGAATTGAGAGCCCATTAGCTTATCAGGATCAGAAGATGTGAGCGGCTGGGTACATTACAGTTATTGCACCAATACAAAGCAAGAGTTTTTGCCATCACTTGTAATTGGATGTCATTTTCTATTGTATTGAACAGCAAACTACTGGATGAGGTCTCTTCAGTTCTGAATATAATGGCACTGTTGGGTTTAATGAGCTACAAATCTTCTTTATTTTAATTCCATTAAGACCTCAGTTTCCAATGCAATGCACTGGTTCTACCAGAGACACAGGCTTGTGCAATTAACTCCAAAGTATATTAATCTCAGCCCCATAAGCTGTGGACAATACAGAAATTGTATTTCTCTGCAGACCCATTCTTATCACAACTAGATAAGCCATTTCCACAAATTCAGATCAGTATGGCAAAATCAACTCTCACTAATAAATTGACATCATTATTAAACTGGATATCACATAATCTGAAACTCTAATAAAATGGTTAAAGTATATGTCCCCTCTTACTTCTTCTAAAAAAGCAATTATTTTTAAGCACAAATTTAGTCTAATTCTTAGTACATTAACACTGACTTGGCAAGGCTTAGATTTCTGACTTAAGCAAAGTGTAACTGAGACAGACTCCATCATCAGTTCTCCGTCAGAGTTTTCATCCCAGCCAGATGGAAAATAGCTGAAGTCATTCCAGGGTACAGAGGGTGAGGTTAACAGCTTGGGGCAGTCATAACTGGAGACTAGAGATCATTCGAAACATTTTATAATCCACAGCATAGTCCCCATTCAACAATGAATGACCAATCCAAAATTTTCTAAAGTGACAAGAGTTGAGGACCTCCAATTGAAACCAGTGATAAGCAATTAAGAATAACTCCGGAGAATCAACTCTAGATTGTTTTCTAATGTTTTTGGTGGAAATTAACATCAAAAACAAACGAAAACACTTGTCTCTTTATTTGCTTAGTAATAACTTTTCAGAAATCAGAATTCACAAGGCATTCTTTTGATAGAACTACTTCTTACCAAAGCAGGCAATGTTCCCATCCAGTCCAATGTACTTTAGGTCATATCTGGCAGCTTCATTTTCAATGGGTTCGTTCTCTGATTTGTCATCCATCGCGAAGATGTCTTTTTGTCGGAATTCTGCATTGTCGTCGAAATTTATCTTGGCATCAAAACAGACAACTAAATAAAGAAAAAAAAGGACCATACCAAAATATTTTAAGAAACCATAAATTAAATTCTCTAAGGTAAAAGGCACAGGAGAAAACCAAAGCGAAATGACACTGTCATTGGGGTGGGGGTTGTTTCAATGATATAGGTAGGAGGGGCTACTGCAGATTTCTTGACCTTTAATCTTTACATTTACAGAGACAAAAAGAATATGATCCTTGTTCCAAAGGAATTTCCATTCTGGCAAACATCCCAATACAGTCTCTTTCCAACAAAATGACAATAAAACTTGCTGATGCCTGTTCAAAGCCAGAAGCCAGCACCCTTAGGCACAGTTTTGATTTGCCGTTTTTACTATGTCTGCTGTTTTTTCAAAGACTTATTTTTACTGGAAAGACAGAAGGAGAGACAAAGATCCTCCATCTGCTGGTTCACTTCCCACGTGTCCAAAATGGCTGGTGCTATGCTGATCTGAAGCCAGGAGCTTCTTCTGTGTCTCTCATGCAGCTGCAGGGTCCCAAGGTTTTGGCCCATCCTCTGTTGCTTTCCCAGACCACAAGCAGGGAGCTGGATGGGAAGTGCAGCAGCTGGGATAAGAACCGTTGCCCGTATGAGATCCCAGTGCTGGCAATGTGAGGATTTAGCCACTGAGCCGTTGCACTGGGCCCATATTTCTTATTCTTAATATTTATCTCCTGATCTATTAGCACTCCCTCTGTGCAGAGACTAGACAATGATAAAAATTCCTTTGTCTTCCTTTATCTCCCTTCTGACAAAATACACAACTGTTACTTACTCAATGACCTCTAGCATTTCCAAAAGACTGTGCAAAAAGAATGATGGTCAGGGGCAACAGTTGTTAAATTTGACTGTTAATAATTATGAAACCATTTTTACATTAAAAATTTTCTCAAAAGCACTGTACATTTATGTGTATAGTATCAGTTTTATACATACATAACATACACCTGACATGGTTACTACAATGAATTAACTCCTAAGGAAAGAATTCAAAATCTAATCTTTTAGAAATTTCTGCTATATCACACTAACTCTAGAACCATCATCCTTAGGCCTTAGTCTTCCTATTTGGGTAAAACTGTGAGCAACAAAGCCTGTCATACTGATGTATTTGCTTTGAGGTCTGCTAAAACAAGGGATATACCCTTCCTTTGTGCACAACCACACTGGAACTCTCTTCATTTCAGGAACCACACACACCGAGAGATGTACAGGCAAGGATGCCAGACATCAACAGTGCTGCTGTCTGCACATCCCACGACACAGCACACAAAGTACTTCCTCTGTTTAAGTCATATACGCATACAGTGAGGAAGACATTATGGTGGGAAGCAGGCTTGCCTGCACTCTTTTCATATCTCTCCTTCTGAGTAGAAATTAATTCCATATGATGGCATTTTATCACAAGATCCTTGAACTTAATTTAGGACCCTGATACGCAGGAAACTTTGACCAAGAATTTAGAGAAACTGCCCACTCTCCTCCTGCACTGCGGGCCAGCACCTAACTCTCCAAAGAGGTACAGCAGCAGTCTGGCATTATGGAGCTGTGTGCTAAGCAGCCACTTGCAGTGCCACCTCCCACAGGATCACTGGTTCACATACTGGATGCTCAGATTTCTTTTCCTGCAAATGTGAAATTAGCTGCATTTCCTGAAATGCAACAGAAAATGGCTCCAAATGCTTGGGCTCCTGTCATCCACAAGGAGAACCAGGTGAGGCTCTGGACTCCCTGCTTTGGCCTGGCCCAGTGCCAGCGACTGCAGCCCTTCGGTGAGTGGATTAGTGCAGGAAGCTCACGGCCTCTCTCTCTCTCTTTACCTTTTTCTTCACAACACACAAACATTTATGAAAAAAATGAGAAAGTGCATATCCAACTGGAAATCAACCACCATGGTGTAAAAAACTTGCTTTGCTTCCTATAAAAAGTAAACATGATGTTGCAACACCCCAAGGGTACAAATGTCAGCTGTAGTTTTTTTCCCCAAGGGTTCACATGCTAGAACAGTGAGGCCCTTGGATACAAATCTGCATACAACTGTGATATCCCCATCTAAGAACATCTGACATTGACATAAATGCAAATCTAGACTATACATTACCTAAAGAAGCACTGACTGACAAGAGAGAATCTTACAGGAAAGTCAACGTCTGTCTGAGTCCTTACTCCTACCACAAAATGTCAAACCACTTTTCCCACACACTGTGAATTCATTAAACAAATGGGTAATTACTTTCCAGAATACTAAAATCTTAATAATGGAATTGGCCAACATTCTCTACTTCGTACAATGGCCTGTTCTCAGCTATTAATGGCCAGCATAATAATCAATAGCACAGCAACTATATTCTGACCTTCCATTGGGTTTATAATACATTCTCATTAATTTATTAATAATTTTAGCTCCTCCATTATTCACTGGAAAGACTACTGTAACCGACACCTTCAAGATGAATGGGTAAAGGTTATCAAATTGACTTCCTAAATGGAGAGTTCCAAATAAAAAAAATTCTTGCTCAAGATCAATAAACCAGTAAATCAAAATAATTCCAAGCTGATCTTTGCCCCCATATAAACACTACAGCTACACACTACATGAGAGAGTGTAATTAATGCAAATATTTGCAAAGTTAAGAAGGCAGATTCAACTAAACACCTACAAAGCCAGATTTTGAAAAGACATTTTCCTTCAGTTTGATAGACATGCCAAACATAGAGCAGTGACTGTGCAGTCTGGTGACCACATAGCCTGAAGACCATGACCATGGAGTAACAAGCGTGCGTGTCTGTGCATGTGTATCTACAATGGCCTTTGCCAACTGTTCCCTACCCATAGACAAGATGAAATGCCAAAGTGAGAAGCAATATACCCATGCTTTGGAAAGTTAAAAACACTATACAACTATGAAACAAGCAAGAAGACTTCGTAGTCAATGAAGGGCATAAAAAATGAGAGTGCCAATCTCAAGGCCTCAATCTTTTGTCAGTGGTAGAGAAAGATAGAACAAAGCACTTGATGGGGGGTATGGGATGTATACTAGTTGTAACTGTGTAATATTCTCAAATTGTATTTACTTATCTGAAAAGTCAAGTGGCAAAGAAACAGCAGGGGGTAGGCCAGCCCAAAGCCAGGAGCCAGGATCTCCATTCTAGTTCTCCCGTGTGGTTGGCAGTGACTCAAGTGGCAGGGCCATCACCTGCTGCCTCCCAGGTACATCTTGAGAAGTTGGGTCAGAAACACAGGCAGGACAACTGGATACCATATACCCTAACATGGGATATTACTGGCCAACACAGTAGATTAGCCTGTTGTACCACAACATTCACTACCTGATGAATATTTTAAAAAGTACTCTGCCATACTGTGATTTATAATAAGAAATGTGTGTGTTTTAGTCTTCACCCTCAATTTTGGCAAAGACCCTAGAATTCTTGTAAATTCCTGAGCCACTGGGATATTACAAAATTCTTTTCTGCTAATATTTGGCTTTCTACTCTGATTCCTGATACAGAGCTCCCTACCCCAAGGAATTTCCTGGGAAAAAGGAGTCTTTTTTGGTGATGAGGAAACTCTTAATGCCTATGTTAGTGTCTCCCACCGACACTTTTGCACCATGGGGTTTTAAGAGCACAATGAGAAGGGGGACAGTATGAAAACTTCTGGCTGCTTTACCCAACATGTATGCTGTCTTACATACCTGCTTGCTGAGCTAGTAATTTCTAAAACCCTCGCCTTGCATGTGACAGGATCCATATGGACACCAGGTTGTAGCTCAGCTGTTGTACTTCTATTCCTATCCATCTCCCTGCTTGTGGCCTGGGAAAACAGTTGAGGATGAGCCAAAGGCTTGGGACCTTGCACCTGACTGAGAGACCCAGAAGAAGCTCCTGGCTTCAGATCAGCTCAGCCGCAGCTGTTGCAGCCACTTGGGGAGTGAACCAATGGGTAGAAGATCTTTCTCTTTGTCTCTCTGTCTCCTTGTAAATCTGTCTTTCCAATAAAAATAAACAAATTTTTAAAAATCTTTTTAAAAATTCTTTGTGATACAATTGAAGGAAAACTCAAGCATTGCCTTGAGTTGTATGAGCCATTGTAGTTAAGCAAACAAGTCTGAGGAGACGGTCCTCTAGTCCCATTTGCAGTTACAGAAGTACCAAAGATTCAGACTCACAACTGGTATCTGCCAAGAGGGATGTCCTACAAGAACAGCAGGAAAAAAAAAATCAATGTATTTGCTATTATTACACACATTCTGACACATGAAGTACTTCCCTTTCTTATTGCTGGCATCAGTAATGTAGCATCACTGTATACTTTTTTTTAACTCAATCACTTAAGGTAAGCTCTGGCATCAAAAACTGGGTACAAATTACAACTCAAACCCCTTCTAGCCAGCTAGCCTGGGTACATAACCTCTCTTAAGCTGCATGACCTTGATTACAAATTGAAGATCAGAGCACTGTCCACTACATGGTGCTGCAGGACAGAAAGACAGCATGCAACGCACACAGCTTGGACACCAGCACACATCACCACCATCTGAATGTACAGAGTTCTTCTGACACTTTCACATGACTGCAGCTCACAACTCCCCCTTTGACTGTCACTAAATATTATCTCGACTTTACCCCCGACCATTATAATCCCAGGCTTCTATTCAAAAGCAAATCTAAATGGCAGTCTAACCAGAGTTTACAAAAGTACAAGTAACCTGTGGCTATCAATAAAAAAACATCTTCTCAGCCCATGAGAATTTTTCCAACGGAAGGATTTTGATGGAAGGTAGCTTTGGGCATCATAAGTGACAAGAGACGAGGATTTCCGTCCAAGGGTTAAGGATAAAATAGGTATCTGGGGACCCTCAAATCACACCATACTCTTGCATAAGACAAAACAGTTAAAGACGACCTAACTCGGGTGTAGAAAACCAGTTTCAAGACCCAGATTATGTGAATACTCTTCCTTTCATGAAGTCGCACTGTTTCATTAC